CAGGTTCATCCAGGTCACACACGGTAAAATAAACAAACAAAGAAAACGTGTGTGTGGAATATGGTGGAGAAATTAAGTGACAAGAAGACTGTGCAGGGGTCAGCGGAGGAGACCAAATATTTGCTATATCCGTGTTCGCTTGGTAAGGTTACATCATTGGATTGGACACCACAGATGTTTTAGCAGAGATTGGTGCAGATAAATAATGATTTGTATGAGTACAAATCCTCGCTGGTGTCAATGGCGTGATCCGATTAACTGGTGCGGGAACCAGCACCGCTCTGGCCGGCCTGAAAACGGCTCTTGTGATGTCGTGAAGTGGTAGATTTCAAGAGCTACCGTTTACCTTTAGTTCAGTAGAGATTGGCAATTCTGGGGCTGAAATCATCCAAATGACTCTAGGGAAGATGTACGGAGTTTAAAAACACACTGGAGCGCTTCCTGTATTACCACATGGCATCACAAAGTGGAACAGAGTGTTTTCATTTGAGAGAAGAATAGGCTCTTTTCACGCTTACGTCACAAACCAGCAAGACGTTTAGAAACATGCCACTTCTGATGTAGTTCCCGACACTGGGCTCATGGACCAACTGTGATAAAACCCACTGAAGTAAATGTGATCAGTGGTAAAATGAAGACTGCATATGTATGTGCTGTTTGGAATCATCTTGAATTTAACGGAACGCTTCAATGACATGCAGAAAACTGGAACATTTTCAAATTTTTTCTAGATTTTGTCAGACTTATTACCGCGAACAGAGCCCGCCGGAAGTTGTCATTGCATGTTTCCAAACGTCTTCCTGGTTTGTGAAGTAATATAAGTGTGAATAGAGCCTACTCAGTCTAAATATGCAGGGTTTGTCTGTTCAACATGAATGTGAATGAATGGTTGAAACAAAACACAACTCCAGGTCTGTTTTGAAGAGGAAACAACATTATAACATGATCAAAGAAAATGGTGTAATATGGGCTCTTCAATGCGACACAGGGCCACTTCTCTTTTCAGAGCTCGGGCCAATTCCGATGCAGCTGTCGAGAGCAGGCATCCCGGGAATGTGACAAGCTGGAGAAACAAGTGGCGTTCGTTCACTTTCTTACATAAACACACACACTCGGGCTGGTTGCCGATACAATACATCCCTCGATACATAGGCCAGGATACAATATATCTCGATACGGTGCATGCTTGATTCAATACGATATATTTCAAATTGATTCGATATGGTTCAATAAAAAATAAAGGCTAAATCGTGGCTGTGATACTAAAAGCCTGTTGTTAAACCACTTCTTGTGCAAAGTTAATATGAAACACAAACATTTTACTCTAGCCAGGTTTGCGCCACCTAGTGTCTCTGCTCAATTTCCTTCTCTCCAGCGACTAGGTCAGGAATAAAAATACACTAGTCAGACTACAAAAACCCCAGAAGTGCGAGTTCGGGCACCAACCAATCAGTGAATAGATATACATTCTGTGTTGTCAACAATTCCTGAGCACGAGGATGTAAACCCGGAACAAAGAGAATGTTTAGTGAATTTTATCAAGGGGAAAGACATTGTTGCCCTTCTTCCTACGGGATTTGGGAAAAGCTTAATATACCGGTTAGGGTTAGTTAGTGGTGCATTACATACGTCATGACGAAATAGGTTAAATTGGATTGGTTTAATTAAAATAAAAAGTACCCGCCTACCATCAAGCGAACAAATCCTAATGCTGTGAGGTCAGACGGTTTCCACAAAGTGAAACCAGCTGATGAATCAGGCTTGATCTTGACAGTAAATAAGTTCGATATTAACTACAAAGCCGTTTTAAAGCCTCCTAGAGAATGAGTGCAGTGTGACTTATTGGTGCACGTGAACATTGAACATTTTACACAAATGAACCGACTTTATGTCACGCTTAAGAAGCAAAACGTTGCAAATTCTCTATTGACATGAATGGGATCCCCATTTAACTGGAAGTATATGGAGTAAGAATATTATTAGTAGTAAGAAATATTTGTGCGCATAGAATAGAAATCCGTGCATATTTGGCTGTAGTAGAGCATAAAATGAGTCCAGTCATACATAAAATATATTGTGTGTGCAGAATACAAATTGAAAAGTTACAACGTCAAGAATTACAATTACGAAATGCAAATTTACAATTACGCTTTCATCAGAACGAATACAAATTCACGGACGGGATTTTACTGTCAAAAATACGCCATCACTTCACAGACATTATATATCGAGCAGTATCGATCAAGATTGCGCATGCTTAAGTTTGTAGCAGAGGGTAAAAATGGACTAAAGGCATAAGAAGGAGCTACAACAGCTGAATGTTTCTGAAAAGCTTTCTTACTCCATAGAAGGTCCATCAAAACAAAGGGCAAAGACGTTATTGTCCTTCTTCCTACGGGATTTGGGAAAGGCATTACACATGTCACGACCAAATAGCAGCAATTGGTTAAATAAAAAAAGTACCCACCGATCATCGAGCGAACGAATTCTAATGCTGTGAGGTCAGACGGTTTCTACGAAGTGAAACCGGCGGATTAATCAGGCTAATAATTTGGTGCTTTGACTTTTGATTCTTAAAAAAATCCACGCAGTTTCTCAGTCCTTAATGTTGTTTCTGACGCAAACAGAGGATGCGTCTTTCTGATTGGCTAGTCCGCTTGTCAATCAAAACTAATTTTAATCATCAAAACAGTGAAAATATCAAATGTGTTGCTTCGACGAGTTTCCTCCCACTAAAGAAGCAACGAAACTGTAGCACTGTAACAAAATAATTGAGTAAAACATCCAAAAAATACCCTTGGCGATATATCGATACAGCAGCCCACGATATCAACACATTAAACTATACGATATATCGCTGTTTCAATATTTTTGTACACCCCAACACACACAAGTGCATATAGAAGTAGAGCTAAACCCAAACACACACGCACACAGAGGTCTTTCAGTGTCATACAGGTTAATGAACATCTGCTCCTGAACGTGCTCCACAGCGGCGAGAGTGGAACCCCGCCGGTGTTCAGTGTCAGAACAAACAGCCCCTCTCGTCTCGTACACCAGGGCAAGTTTAAGGAGCGCCGTAAAGACGTCTCAAAGTCAGGGGCAGTTTAAAACGCACTTTCTGAGGTGAAACTTCGGAGCTGCAGGAGAAGTGGATTAAAGGGACTATATAGGCTGTTTTTTTTTGCTTCTTATATCAAGCCACTGTCGCCCTAAATCTGCAGGGTTTGATTGTTAAACGTGTGAATGAAACAGAAAACAACTCCAACTATGTTTTTGATGAAGAAACAACATTATAACATAGATTAGATAGAGCTTAAGATGGGCCATTCACTGCAAAAAAGCGAAGATATAAACACTTAAATCTATCAGAAAATGAATTAAAAGTCGTGAAGTTATCTGTCCATGCAGTAAGATAATTATACTTGACAAATTATCTTAAAATAAACTACCTCTAGACGAGAATGAAGCCGTCTCAGAACTAGTGAGTAGATAATAAATCTGAAAACAAGATGAAAAACCGGATATAAGCTTTAAAATCTTGGCCAGATCAGAGAAATTTGCAGTATTTAATAATAAAAGTAATTATAAAGTGTTACCCGTGTTTGTTTTGCATAGTTGCATCGTTTCTCAGTAAAAAGAAGTTGATTTAAGATTAATAAAAGTCATTATTTGTGTGACCAGAAGAACATCTATAGGTACCCTTATGTAACAGATAATACTCCCTACAACTGTGCAACAACTCACCCTAATGTAACAGATAATACTCCCTACAACTGTGCAACAACTCACCCTAATGTAACAGATAATACTCCCTACAACCCTACAAAAACTCGCTCTTATGTAACAGATAATACTCCCTACAACTGTACAACAACTCACCCCTAATGTAACAGATAATACTCCCTACAACTGTACAACAACTCATTCGTATGTAACAGATAATACTCCCTACAACTGTACAACAACTCGCTCTTGTGTGACAGATAATACTCCCTACAACCGTACAACTCACCCCTATGTAACAGATAATACTCCCTACAACCCTACAACAACTCACTCGTATGTAACAGATAATACTCCCTACAACTGTACAACAACTCGCTCTTGTGTGACAGATAATACTCCCTACAACTGTACAACAACTCATCCTTATGTAACAGATAATACTCCCTACAACTGTACAACAACTCACTCTTATGTAACAGATAATACTCCCTACAACTGCACAACAACTCATCCTTAAGTGAGAAGATAATACTCCCTACAACTGTACAACAACTCACTCCTTATGTAACAGATAATACTCCCTACAACTGTACAACCACTCACCCGTATGTAACAGATAATACTCCCTACAACTGTACAACAACTCAGCAACTTTTATTTTGACTTGTACATCTACATTTATATAATTATCTCTTGTTTGACATCTGTTTCTTGCTATTTTTTCTATTTATTTAGTCTTTATTATTACAATTTATATATTTTTTGTCTTTTGTTATTATATTTATTGTGACGTTTGAGCTACTGTGTCCAAATAATTTCCTAAAGTCTAAGTCTAACTTCAAAATTGCACTCTGTAAATCACCTTTTATGTAACTGTGAACCTTAATTAGAAATTTAAAAAATGTAAATAAAGTGGTAATTTCTTAAAAGTTTAGCTGTTTACATGTTTAAAGCCTCAATAGTTTGTTATAAAAATGATCTCAGTTCAGTAAGAGTGAGTCCAGTAAGGTGGAGTAGGAGTGTACAGAAAGCACGTGTGTCCCGGCAGTGGTCCGCGCCCCGCTGTTTGAAAACCCACTGGTCTGGCGTTAATGCGGAGACCTCTACACGGCACATGTCAACCGCGAGCCCCGTATGACTTTCCACTCGCGGCTCGCTCTAGACAAATAAAGCGGCTGGCTCCTCCAAACTTCACAAACACCTCGTAAGACTGCCAGCGCTCTCTCTCTCTCTCTCTCGCAAACTTAAACTCACAAGTGTAAACAGCATACCCTTGTTTTGTGCAGGGGAAAGCAGTCCATATTGTCAGATCCCGGTCCAGATCCCGAACATAACTGCACTGAAATCCAACTGACTCCGACGGCTGCGCTGGAAGGGTCTGCGAAGCGGGCTGAGGCAGCATTCAGAGCCCTACCACATCCTGTCTTTTCACACACACACACACACACACACACAGACAGAGACGGACACACACGCGCGCTGCTCTGTGGTAAATTCAGGAGGAGTGAAGGGAAAAGCGCTTCAAATGCACTCTTTCAGAAGGCTTACGCTAACTTAGCTCCGGCGGATTAGTCTCGGAATACCAGTGTCTACCCGGGATTTGCCCACATGTGCGGAGAGAGAGGAGGGCACGGCTCACACGGGCTGCACATGTGAAAGTGGGTGTTCCTGCGGGTGGGTGGGGTGGGGGGACGAAGACTCGGGGCCAGCTGTCGCCAACCCCGAAAAAACACATGTGCGCTGGTTTTTACAACTACAACTACAGCGTCGCAGTTGTTGGCAATATAACAGGCACTTAAAGAGGTTAAAGGTGCACTGCGTAACATTTCCTTTTAGCAGAGGGTCCGCCACCTGATGTCTCCATGGGGATGTTATTGCGTAGTCTAGAACAGGGGTGTCAAACTCAAATTCACAGAGGGCCAGACTTAAAAACTGGATCTGGGCAGTTCAGACTGCAGGGCTTAACGCTCAATTCCGATTTTTTTGTGAAATCTGATGTTTTTGCGAGGTCGTTCACATTTCCAATTAAATGCGACTTGTATGTGACTCCAGTGTGAACATTAAATGGTCCCAAAAGTGTCCCGCATGCTCACTGGAGGACACGATGATGTCAACCGCAGCGAGCGTGCTCTGTGCTTAAGGAAGTTGTCCAAACATGGACGCGAGCATTGAGCACCTGGCGATTTTAAAGTTCCTCTCGTACCGGAGCCAGAACATGAACAACTTACTTGTTTTAAGGAGGAGATTGAGAAGGAGAAGGACGAGGTTTTTGGCCATGGCGTTTTGTGGGACAGCAGCAGCGACGTCCGTTGAAAGGAACGTGTGGATGTGGAGATGTATCCAAGAGTGGTGAGTGGTGATGTGCTTCACTTCAGTGACACGAAGTTCATTAACAATTTTCACCTACTTCAGCGCAGAATAGTGACGTTTGTGGCTTGTTGATAAGGTGTAGGTCGGATGAATGCGCTTTGACCGTTCAGACTGAAGTCGCATGTCAAAAGATCAGATATGTATCGGTTTCATTACCACATATCCAAGTGGCCTGGGTCAAATTTGAAAAAATCGCATCTGTCATTAAAAGATCGGATACAGGTCACATAGGGGCCAAAAAATCTGATTTGGGTCACTTCAGGCTGCAGTCTGAAGTCGCTGGCCAAACTAAATATTTATTAAAAAATTTCAACATCATCTGCATGTTTTCTCTTCTTTTGAAATATGTAATGTGAAACCATTTCTTATTTCTTATTAAAATAAATGTTTAATAATAGTTTTGCTTGAATCCAGAACAAGCATAATATAAAATAATAACATTTTAAATAAATAATGTCTCTATAGCAATATTTTTCCTCCAGTGAGCAACTTTACAAAACAAAACTGCAAGACAGATACTGATTTTAATGGCCGCAAGAAATTGAGATGATTATAAGAATGAGGGCAAACGTTTGGGTACAGTTAGATGCCTATAAAACATAAACTATTGTCCACTTATTAGTGCACAGAATTGGTAATACGCATGTAATTAACCATATTTTTCTTATTCAGCACAATGGTTTTAATTCCGAAATCCTTTGGCGAGCTACTGGGAAGGAAGTGGAGAGCTACTGGTGGCTCTCGAGCTGCAGGTTGGAGACCCCTGCTCTATAGCCTGTTTGTAGCTTTTGAACTCCTTTTTTTGTTTTTTTTTTGTTTTGTTTTTTTGTTTTTTTCACAAGCCAAGTCAAAAATAACAACTTGCTTCAATGAAAATCCAAACTTTCAACTATGAACAGTCAAAAATCATACAGAAAACATTCATCCAAGCTCAGTTTGCTGACTGTGATTTACTCTGATGCACATGGGTCCAAAGCAAATACAAATAGTTGGCATCTCTTCTTAAATACAAGTTCATCAAAGTAGTAGTAGTATACACGTTGCATGAGCCATACTGGTGCAGCAGCCGGCGGGCAGCTCTAACACATATTTGATATGAGCTCACGGGCCAAATATAATTATATTGCGGGCCAAATTTGGTCCCAGGTCTGAGTCTGGCATGTTTGGTCTAGAATGTTCTACAGCGGGGGTCACCAACCTTTTTGAAAATGAGAACTACTTCATGAGTCATACGAAGGGCTACGAGTCTGACACACTCTTCTGAAATAACAAATGTGCTCAGTTTGCCTTTAGTTATAGATTATTATTAATGATTAATGATAATTATCTATGTGGAGACACTGATCACGTTAATGATTTCGCACAATAATTATCAACATTGTGTGAGCTTTCCCTGGAGGCGGCCTGAAAAGAGTCTTAAAGAGAGTCCAGGAGAGTTAGAGCAGTTCACAGACATGTCTCTTTGGCTCAAGCAGGTACAGGTCCCTGATTCATGTTGATTACAGGATTCAGCCACAAGCATCTCTTCACGTCACCCCCCATAGTACAGAAAAGTAGACAGCGTTATACTGACCATCTTGTCAAATATTGACTGACTGGATAACCTGTTTTTGCAGGAAATTCACAGTAATGTTGACCCAGACAGTGTTATCATGGATTAGCAAATGTTAACAGGTGGATCCCGAGACATTCCCAGGCCAGCCGAGAGACATAGTCCCTCCAGCGTGTCATAGGTCTTTCCCGGGGCCTCCTCCCGGTGGGACATGCCCGGAACACCTCCCGAGAAATGCATCCAGGAGGCATCCGGAACAGATGCCTGAGCCACCTCAGCTGGCTCCTCTCAACGTGGAGGAGCAGCGGCTCTACTCCGAGCTCCTCCCGTGTGACTAAGTTCTTCACCCTATCTCTAAGGGAGCGCCCAGCCACTCTGTGGAGGAAACTCAATTCATGCGCTTGTATCCGTGATCTTGTCCTTTTTGGTAATTACCCAAAGCTCATGACCATAGGTGAGAGTAGGAACGAAAATTGATGGTAAATTGAGAGCTTCGCCTTTCGACCCAGCTCCCTCTTCACCACAACGGTCCAATACAGCAACCGCATCACTGCCGATGCATAAACTATAAGCGCTGAAAAAAAAAAACAGCTCGCTCATCTAAATCGCTTTTCTTCCTACGGGATTTGGAAAAAGCTTAATCTACCAGTTAGCCCCGTTATCGTCGCATTAAATACTTCATGATCAAATAGCAGCGATTGATTAAATAAAAAAGTACCAGCTTACCGTCGAGCGAACGAATTCTAATGCTGCGAGGTCAGACGGTTTCTACGAAGTAAAACCGGCTGATGAATCAGGCTAGATATCAGGCAATAATTTGGTTCTTTGGCTTTTGATTCTAAATGCATCTCTCTGATTGGCTAGTCCGCTTGTCAATCACGCCCAGCTCAAATCAGGGAGACAGGACACAGCTCCAGATTGACTCGTCTTTGTGAAGTTTTGTCAGAGCGTGTGGTTCTGGTTGGCTAGGCAAGCGCGGCAGTTGGCGGTAATATAACAGGCGCTTAAAGAGGTTAAAGATCAACGTGAAGTCTTGTGGCGTGTCCGGCCAACTCCGGCGTAACTCATCTCCGCGAGCATATGGCGCACATGCTCAGTCATTCTGGCCCAACTGTCACCGGAAAACAGACGTCAACCGCTCTGTGTCGTTTCCACTTGGACGGCTCAGATGTAACCGAAAAAGCGAGTGGAGAAAGTACACGCGGCGGAGGCGAGATTCAGTGACCCGGAGACGACCAAACAACAAATATGAAAGGTCAAAGAGAGAGAAAGAGAGATAAAGAATAAAGCGTACCTCCACCAGCTCAGTGCAGGTCTGAGATAGCAGCTCTTGTCGGTGGGGGTCCGTGACAGCCACCTGGACGAAGGCGCTGGGCTTTCTGTCTCTGCCTGAAGGGGACAGGTCCTGACAAGCTGCGAAGAAAAAGAGGGGACAGTATGACGGACCGTGGGGGAGAGAGGAAGAGGATACAGAGGGGGTTTATGGCATCTTGGGTTGTCAAAAATAGGGATACAGCAGCTTTTTCAGCTCCGATATCGACTCTGAGTGGTGGTTTTAATACAATAGTCATTTTACCTGCCCCCCGTTTGCAAATTGTCCTATAGAAACCCAACAAAACTGCAGCTTTAAGGACTAAAGACTGAAAACTGTATTTATTTTCTTTACATAAATATAAAATAGGACAAAATTGATCCAGATGCGTTATGTAGCTGTTATTTATCTCTCAAGTTACTAAAGAAAAACTCTGTATAAATAAAAATCCAAACATTATGAGACTTTCTGGGCAGACAACGACGAGTGAATAATATTATTACAACTATTTATATGTCAAAGTCGATATCATACACAGCAGAAGTCTCAAACCTGCAGCTCGCCAAGTCGATATCTATTGTGGAGGAAAAGTAAAAGTAAAATTTGATTAATTACCATCGTAAATGTATAATTTTGATGCCTAAAGTGGTGCGATAAATGGATAATGGTTTATGTTTTATAAGCTTCTAACTGTTCCCATCTAAGGCTCTTATATTTACTAATTTTCTTTGCGACTTCTGAAATGAGTAGCTCTATGGCGTTTTTGTTTTGTAAAGGTATCTCACTGGGGAAAAAAAAGGTTGGAGATCCCAGATATACAGATTTAATCTTTTTTTTTTTTCAGTATCAGTGCCACATCTATAGCCTGATTCATCAGCCGGTTTCACTTCGTAGAAACCGTTTGACCTCGCAGGATTAGGATTCGTTCACTCGACGGTAGGCGGGTACTTTTTTTATTTAACCAATCGCTGCGATTTGGTCGTGACGTATGTAATGCACCAAATCATGTAGGAAGTAGGGCTGTCGCAATAACCGCAAAAATGAATCAGTGCGGTACTAAGAGGTCCACCGGTGCATGTTGGGCCACAG